ATTATTTTGATGAAGAACTTTGTTTCTAAAATCTTACTTCAGCATTTTTTAATGTCAGGTACCTGGAATTAATTTGTTTCACAATACAACTATTATATAAAAATGAATTATTTAAAAATGAGAGAATAGACCCATAATAAAAGAGCCTCAGTAGATCAAACATTTTTACTTTGCCTGTTACTGCTCCACTGTAGGTGAAAAACATTCCTAAAACAAGGGTTTTGAAGGAGTCTGGAAAGAGCTGGAAACAAATTTGCAATCTATTTAATTATGCAATTTCTGGAGACTGCATCAAGTCTCAGATATTTACTGATATCTCAAAGGGCATTTCTAGATTTGCTTTAATATGTTCTGTATTTTTCTCCTTACATTCTTTGTTTTGAGATAATTTTTACCAAAGGACTCATGACATTATGAGTAGTGTTTGACTTTTAACCATGTCAGGTGACATATACCATGATGTTTGGGTGTTTCCATTTCTTTACCTCAAAATTCAAAATTTACATCATTAATATATTGTAAGAGTCATGGCAATTTCAATTTGTAGTGATACATACGGTATATTCATGCTTGAATTAAATCTAAGAGAGACACCTTAGAACTACAATTAATCTCAAACTATACAACATATTGACCTGGACATTTAGACACCCCATGAGAAATCACACGACCACGTGCCCATTTAATTAAATACATTTTTTAAATCATTGGAGTAAGACAAAATGCTTATTTGTAATTTGCTTGACAAGAAGTGCTAGACATTAAGACTGTGCTGCCATGGTTAAACTTTTATGTTCCACTGACTATCCTAGTCTTCTCCATTTTATACTGCAATCTATAACACAAAATTTAAAATCTATGTATCAATTTGCATTAATGTAGTAATCATTGCATATGCAGCCATGAATGTAATGGTTGCTAAAATACTTAATATATTCTTCTTCTAAGTCCACATTCATTTAAGAAAAACTAAGAATTTTAACAAACCAATCATTTTAATAATACCTGCAAAGGGAACATTATTGCTTCCACCATATTAATTTGGAATGTGGCATTTGCAGAACGGCTCTAAGGAACTGAATAAAAATATTTTTGTATATATGTTTAAAATACCTAAAAGCCTCCACACCCTGATTTCCAGCCTACCAGACTGGTAGCTTTGGATATATGATGACTCTCGATTTACCATGACAGAAGAAAACAGTCCCTTTAAGAGTTCCAGAAACTGCTCTGACAACCGGAGTGGATTTGGGTAGCCAAGAACCAGCAGAGATAACACGTACACCATTTATCAGCCCATAAACTCCTCATGCAGCAGCTCCAGGAGAACAACAGGGACTCAGAGCAGGGAACACTTCAGCCTGCACCACTCACACTCCCACACCAGGCTCAGACCAGCGGCTGCACAGACAAGCCCCAGCTGCTCCAGGGAGCCAGGCAGCCACACAAACCAGCCTGGTACCCACTTCATACCAGGGAAGCTGCCAACCACTTTTCACACAACTGAGAAAGTGCTCAGCGTGGCCTTAGAATACAGGAGAAATTTGAACATCCTTATGTAGGATTTTCTGGAAATACTTGTTTCATGCTTGAATTGAAAAATGCTTGGTTTATGCTTGAACCAATACATCAGTTAAATGATTTTCCCATCCCTAAGTTAGTGCTCAAATGCATTTGAGAACTATACTTCTATAATTTTGAAAGTGATACAGGTGCCTGCAGCCAAAGTCATCTCAGACTTTACATTTAAAGAACATGAAGTCATCTTTCCACAGCTCTAGGAACACATTTGGACCACAAATTTTTCATCCCAGTCAGCTGACTCCAGCAGAATATGAGAGTTCCAGCTAAAGCTGGTCAGATATTCCTGATAATAGGGGAAGAGAAAATATGTTTTTTCAGTCATATTGAATCAATTTTGGGACCTATTTGCAGCAATTTTAATATTTAGCATTCCCTCAAGTATCAGAGGTGTGATTATCATTGTCCTCCATGGAAAGGTGCCCAAGGTCTACAATTGAAACTTTAAGAAGCTAGAAACTCTAAAAACTATGAGGAGAACTGAGCCACAAAATGTGAAATGGGAAGGCAGGAGAAACAGCTTATAGAGATGAAGCTACCTCATAGGAGGTTGCAAGGAGGTAGAAAAGAGAACACGGTTGGGACTGAAATAATCAGGAGACACTGAGGAAGAGAGATAAGGAAAAAGAGAGTGGGAAACTAAGAATACGAAAAAAATAGGGGCTAAAAAAAAAGGCTAGCCACCAAGGGAAGGGAGAGGATACAGGTAGATGTCAGACAAAGGGGAAAAGCTTGGTATTTTGAGAATAGAAAGAATAGACAAACCAGGCTTATGTGAGTAATACAAGGAGTAAACCAGGTAGAGTGCAAGAGGAGACTACAGCAAAAGGGAAAGGTACAGAAAATACAGAGGCAAAGTAACAGATCTCATTCCCAGAATGAGAATCAAACCAATTATTCCACATCCGCAGCATCATTTTGTTGTCCTACACTATTATCTCAAAAACACACTGACAGTATTCATTCCTTCACCTTGCAGCAGATTAAAATACACATAGGCTCACATAGTGAAAGAGAATTAGATATTGTTATTTGGTGAAGGATTCCTCATTTGCTGCTTCATTTCATGCAGATAATCGACAAAGTTCTAGGTAAAAATCAGTATTAGATGGTCAACTGCAAGGCAAAGAGAATATGACGAGTATTAGACATTGGGAAGGAAAAAGTGCCCTAAGTGCTATAATTAGGGAGCATTTTGGTTTCAAACTTCATGTATGACTTCTGTTTAAGAAAGGGATTAACTGTATTGGAGTTCCATAGAAAATGTGTGTATCAGAATTAATATTGATATTATAATGATACTCAGGGTAGTTAGAGCTGCGCTGGTAGCCTTAATCCTGGAATTTGTATAACCTAACTTTGGAACTAAAGTACACTTCGTTTCCTAATTTTTTTTTACTGGAGGAATTTTTTTTTTTTTATTTTATAACAGAACTCAGCTAGGTACTGAAGCTATACTACTGAACTATAAAAAAAAAGTCTTAGGATGTATGTAGTGAATTAATATATTAAAAAAGCAATAAAACAAAATATTATTTCAATATACCTAAACATCTATTCAAAGTGCCTAATTTGATTTTGCTATCATCCCGAGGGTTTTTTTTAGAACATTTCTGCAACAAAGAGCCCCTGCTACAGTTTTAGCAGCCCATAACTGTAGGAATATGATTACCATGATGGTAACCAGCAGGGCTGGTCATCTAGGAGACAACTGGAACAATCTAATCCTTCAACTAGAGTTTTCACCATTGTTAGGCCTCTCTTAGCCTACAATAGGTCAAATATTTCTACCTAGACAAAAATATTACATTCAAGTGACTATGCTTTTAAAACAGTGACATATATGCAGCCTTATTTCCCACCCTGCACCCAACCTCCTTAATATCAGATGCTGACTTTCACACTTCTCTCATTATCAAGTTGCAGCAGGGAGGGGGGAAGGGGGGTGGAGGGAGATGTTATCACACTGAAGGCAGTGCGATTTCAAGTGATTTTCCCTGTATTTCACTGACATGTTGTTAAAAAAACATCACTGGAAGCAGTGGACACGATCAGGATTTCTTGAGGCCTAAACAAAATTACATTTTTCTGAATTAATAAGTAAAACATGATCTGATCCCATGTTTTGACTAGTTTTGTTTGAAAATGCAGCTAGCTCTGTGTCCATTAGGGATTTAAAAAATGGTCACTGTCATACAATTTTTATAAAAATTTGTGCAATTCGTAAGCATATAATGCACAAATTGAATTTTTGCAGGATTTCTCCACCCACAACTTAGTAGTCTAACTATGTAGGGTAGTAAACTAAGTAAGATGAAGTACACTTACCCAAAAATATTTATTATTGCCTATCACTCTTGAACTGTCACTTGCAAATTAAAATATCTGAAAATGTCCACTACAATTATTGTAAGTTGACTCCAGCCGGCATCTTCCAAACATCCGAAGAGTGACGATGCAGTTGTACCCTTGCAGTGGCAGAAATGTCAGAGCACAGGTGAACATGCAGGTGAACACGCTATAAAAAAACATTTTAATGGTCAATTGATACTCGACAGTAGCCGAGATGAGAACTTGGGCTGCACTGTTTTTTCTCCTCACTGGTATAAGCTGAGCATGAACCCCATGGCACTAAATGGCATGAAGAGACTTGAAGGTAGGTGGCAGAAATATAATTTCTAAATACAGCTTCAATCCTGTCTGTGAATCCTTTGGTTCAAACAAAAAATCACTATGTACAGCAAAGTCACCTTCTCATCTACAGCTTTCCAAAACAGTGTATTTCCAGGCACACTTTAAAACTAGTATCTCAAATTTACCTAGCTTCCTTTGTTGCAGACTGGAGGTTTTTTCCTTATGCATTAACTCAAATTCAGTTAGCACTCAAATAAGAAGGGAAAAAAAAATCTATAAAACCCACACAAGCACAATCACATGCTCCACACTCTAAGAGGCAGAGAAGCAGCAGAAATCTGGCCATTAAGCTTTGTGATAAGAATACAGCCACACCTGAGAAAAAAACCTCTTTGGTCCTGGAGGCCGTTTTAGAGCCATTATCATGGTGAAAGGATCACATGGTATCTGCCTTCCGAAAGCATCGCCTTAGGGCAGGACACATTTAACCTAAGATTAGTCTCACTCAAGGGCCACGTGGCCAAGAAGAATGACAGAAACAGATGTACATTCATTTATTTTCCGGAAATACAAAAAAAAATAAAAAGAGATAGTTAAAAACACAACTAGAAACACGTTCTGGGCAAACAAGTAAGACTGCTGATTTTGCAAAAAATATCAATAACTGCGCGCATGAACGAAAGGGGAAAAAAAGATGTAAACAATCCATTAAAACCAGCAGAAAAAAAAAGTTCGAACAAGGCTACTAGCCTGCAGGACAATCGGGATAGTAGCTTATGTCCACCCAGACAAAGTTTGTGCAACTGTCCCAAGGAGATTCAAATAAATTACATAAATAGGAGAGGGGCCGGGCGCCTCCCTGCCAGTGTCCAAGCCGTGCCCCAGCGAGCCCCTCACAAGTCGGGGTAGCCGCAGTAGTAGACGGCGCTGCTGGCGTCCGACACGGCCGACGAGATGGGAGCCGCTCCCTCGGGCGACGACAGCGCGGCCGCGTCGTGGCCGCCGAAGGGCAGCGCCAGCTCGGGCTTGCAGGCGAAGCGCAGGTACTGCTCGAACTCGGTGCGGTCCACGTCGCCCAGCAGCTCCTCCGGCGGCAGCTGCTCCAGCTGCTCCCGGCACGGCGCCGTCTCGGGCGGCGGCGACGGCTGCCCCACGGCCCCCGGCGGCGGCAGCGGCGGCGGGCCGCGCCCCGGCCCCGGCGGCTGGCACTGCCCGTAGTACGCGTGCAGCGGCGCCGGGCAGCCCAGCAGCCCCTGCAGCGACCCGCCCGCGCCCAGCGCCTCCCCGGGCGGCAGGTGCCGCCGCAGCGACGCGCCCGACGGGCTCTCGGACGCCGCCGCTGCCGGGTACTCGGCGGCCGCCGGGTGCGGGCCGTAGCCGTAGGGCACCAGCGCGCACTCCTCCTGCAGCCCCGCCGCGAAGAAGGGAGCCTCGCTCTCCGCCGCGTCCAGCGGCGACGGGTCCGGCGTCGGCAGGCTGTAGCCGTCGAACGCCGCGCCCAGCGGCGGACAGTCCCGGTAGTGGCCCGCGCCCGCCGCCGCGTAGCCCTGCTCGCCGTACGGCAGTCCCAGGCCCTCCACGCACATCCTGCCGCCGCCGGCCACCTCGCTGCCCAGCCCGGGCCCCGCCACCGCCGCCTCCGCCAGGCCGTGCTGCAGGAAGCCGCTCTCCACCCGCTTCAGGCGCTTCACCTGCTTCCGCCGCCGCGGCCGGTACTTGTAGTTGGGGTGGTCCTGCATGTGCTGCACCCGCAGCCGCTCCGCCTCCTCCACGAACGGACGCTTCTCCGCCAGCGACAGCGCCTTCCACGATTTACCTGCACCCACCGACACCGTCAGACCGCCCGCTCCCCGATCGGCACCCGCGCCCGCTCCCGACCGCGCCGACACCTCCCCGCCCGCAGCCCGCACCTCCAGCCCCGCCCGAGCGCGAGCGACCCTCGCTCGCCCTCGGAAGCGACCGCCCCGCCGGCACCCCGGCCCGACAGCCCACGGATCCCCCCCGCTCGCTGCCCACACCCCGGACCCTGAGGGTGCCCCGGGCTCCTCGCTCTCCTGGATCCGCCCCACGGGACACCGCGTTCGCCGGGACCCCGCGCCCGCCCGCCCGCCCGGCCGCCCGCGCTCACCCAGCATCTTGCTGAGCTCGGCGTTGTGCAGGTCCGGGTTCTGCTGCGCCAGCCGCTTGCGCTCGTCCTTCGCCCACACCATGAAGGCGTTCATGGGACGCCGGATCCGCGCCTCGCCCTTGCTCCGGCCGCCCGACGGCCCCGACGGCGCCGCGCCGCCCTTCGCCTTCGCCTCGCCCAGCGGGCTCAGCGACTCTGCCCACGGGCACATGGCCGGCATCATGATGGGCAGCGAGCACCGCCCTTGCACCTGGTCGTCGCTGCTGGCGTAGCCCGCATCGGGGCTGCTCATCTCGCAGCGGCTTGGATCGGGACGGCTCAGGACGCGCTGCCGACCGCCGCCAAAGCCGGCAGCTCCGGCCAGCCCACGGGACACACTCGGCACTCGGGCCCCGCTCGCTGCTGCCAGAGCGGCCGCCCGGCCCGGCCCTATTTGAGCCGCGGTGTGGCCAATGGGGCGGCGGGGGCGGGCTCGCAGCCGGACGGTGGCCGTGGCCCCCGCGGCGCTGCCCTGCGGGACGGCCCCTGCGGCTCCTCCCGGTACCTGAGCGCCGCCCCCGCCCCGCGGGACCCGTGCCGGGCGTGCCTCGGGACACCGGCACCGCATTCGTGAGCGGCTCCGGCTTCAGCCCTGCCCTCCGCAAGGGNCGCCCCCGCCCCGCGGGACCCGTGCCGGGCGTGCCTCGGGACACCGGCACCGCATTCGTGAGCGGCTCCGGCTTCAGCCCTGCCCTCCGCAAGGGTAGCACTGACCGGCCCACCGAGGCCGTGCGCTAAAGGACATCCTCGAGCGGAGCAGAGTCAAAATAGGGCAAAGGCTCAGAATACTTACAGGTGTGCCGAGATACCCTGTAACACCCTGAGAGGCACAAGCGGCTTCTCCTTCAGGTAGATGTGGGAAGTATCTTAGGAACAATAAGACAAGTCATCTCTGTGCCACTTCAGCTACTCACTCTCTCCGTGCCGCCCCGGCTGCTCCTGCTCTGCCCCCTCCTCCCGTAACCAGTTGCTCCGAGGGAGCGGCGCGGGATTGCTTCGTTGCATCCGCGCTTTCAGCTATGGCGAGGCAGTTCTGCGAACAGAGACAGATTTTTTCCCGTCTGTCTGTCTTTGTCACTGCCCCGCAGGATCCTCTTGACGTCAGCTCCTCTGTGCTTTGCCTCCTTGGCAAGTTGGTTTAATTAAGTCACGACGTATTCAAAATTAAGCCGACCCTCGTTTTATCGGAATATATAGAAAACGTGTAAAGACAATATTGTTTGTTTTTCCTAAAAACAGGTGATGGGTTCGAGGCAGTTTTAATTATCTTTACAACTATCCTACTGCCATCGCATTGAGAGCGATCTTGATAAATGAGACGTCCTTATAAAGTGTAATAATTCTTCCCATTTCAGTTTTCTAATATTCGATGGTGTTTTCGATAGGACAAACAACCCTATTTTTCAGCGCATACCTGGGTAGATGTGTTATCAGTGCCATATTTCATACAGGTTGAATGCAGGGAATCTTTGCCCATAAACGAGCAGCCGAGCGACTTGCAAACCTTGGCACAACCTGGGATGTGTTTCTTGGCGTATTTTCTTGTGCTCCAGTATAATGGACAAGCTGAAAGACACATCTGTGCCTTGATACATGAGATCACATCTTAACTGAATAGAAAAGGCATGAAGTTACAGGCGATAAAAAAAAACAACAACAACAACAACAAAAAAACAACCAACCAAACAACAACAACAACAAAAACTGAATAAATCTGCCCTCATTAAGTTTGCTGGTCATTAACGCCCTTTGTTTCCCCCTCCACTATCTCCGCCAGGTATGTGGGGAGGCCGGGCAGAGCTCCCTCCAGCCACTGCTGTAAATCCCGGGTGGGGAGCGGGAGCAGGAGCACCCTCGACAGATTCCTGCCGTCGGGGAACCCCCGTCTTCTCTCCAGCGACGGACACAGGAATTATTTAAGTGATCGTATTTCCTGGTACCTCTGTGTTCATGTTTTGCTTGAAGTCGAGAGTATAAAATTCAGTGTTAGTTCTTTACAAAGAGCCACACTAACACGAGTTAGGTAGAGTCCTTCATCTTTCCCATAGGTCTGGAACCCAGAAAAGCGAATGCCTGCAGGCTGGGAAAGGTTCGGGGGGCGGAATACCTAGTTGGGAAACACTCCATTGGTAATGGTAATGTTGTCAGATCAAATTTGAAATAATTATTTTCAGACAGAAGTCAGCCGAATATGTTTACATTTAAGCCCTTTTAAACTGCAGGAAGTAACCACAGACTAGTTTGGGTTGGAAGGGACTTTGAAAATCATCTAATTCCGGCCCCCTCCCATGAGCAGGAGCACCTTCCACTAGACCAGTTTGCTCAAAGCCCCATCCAACCTAGCCTTGAACACTTCCAAGGATGGGGTGTCCACAACCTCTCTGGGCAACCAGTTCCAGTGTTTTACCATCCTCTTTATAGCTCTGCTTCCTTCAAGCGGGTCTAGAAGGATCCTCTTTTAGTTTAAAACTATTTTCCTGTGTCCTATCCCAACACAGAATAGCTTCTCTGCTCTGTTTTTTAACACATACACACTATATGAAAGAAGAAAGTGGATCACTTGTGTTCCTTGGATATGCATTTTAAATTTCACTAGGATAAAAACCAGGCAGCTAGTTAACTTGGAGTAGCTGTTTTGAGAAAATGTTGACATCCTCAAGGACAGGGGCGACTGGCCTGTCTTACAGGTCTGCATTGCTTTTAGCGGGCTGTCTTTAAGCCTGGAGCCGCTCTGCTGCCCTTCCTGGCCGCCTGCACGGTGACCCCCTCCCCTTGTTTCACCCTCTATGCTTCTCACTGCACTGGCTGTTCTGGCTGTTTGGCAGCTCTACAGAGGGGCCGCCGCGGACTTTCCCAGCCCAGAGCTGCCGGGCGGGGGCTCAGGGAGACCGGATGGATGCTCCACCCGCGGGCTGAGCCTCCCGTACCAGCCCGGTTAGCCTGGCAACTGGGGACTCATCAATATTCGATGAGTGCCGAATATTGGGGCAGGAGACACCTGACCTGCCGAGTTGGCCGTAGGTTTTCTTCAGTAGGCACGAAAGGGGGCAATTCACAGCTGACCGGGTCAAAGCACCGGCCGGCGAGCAGAATCACGCAGGGACAAGGATTGCATCGCGCAGTTCATTCAGTCATACCACGTAACAACTTGTCGGCATGAGTTCATCGGGCTTGTCCCCTAAAGCAGCTCTCCATCACCATCAGCAGCTCCCCTGAATACGAGTGACCCGAGCAGTAAAAATACAGATTCAGCAGCACACATTAAGAAAGAAAACAAACAAACAAACAAATACATAAATAAAGCTTTGAAATGAGTTCCAGAAATAAATACAAGCATGTAATACCACCCTATCTTCAGTCTTCGGGACGCCCACAAGTACCTGTGGGACTCTGTAATTCAGAACAGGAACAGATTATGGGTTAGTGTTAACAGCAGCGACGTCCTGGTGGCTTTGCAACACTCGAAGCAGGGAAGGGAAACAAATAACCTACCCCTTTCTCTGTAAATGCGTTCATAACCTGTCATTTTACAGTGTAGAAAGTGCAATTTTTTTTTCTTTAGAAGGTGGGGACTTTGAGGGTTTTTTCCCAGTGCAACAGACAAAACCTAGGATAGGTTTTGCAGTACCCGAAGAAGAGGGAAGTTACTCAGATATCATCAGGAACAAGGGGAATTATTTAGCATTTGATCTGGGACAAGATTCATATCTTCGGTGAAGTCTCTTTACGTGACAGACCTTCTGAGTAAATAATTCAAGTTAAAATCATACACTTAAAATACTAAAACCATACACTTAAAATACTAAAATATAACAGCCTGCAAGAAGCCTTGGGTGATCAGCACACTCTCTTAGACACACAGACAGCTGCCGTATTTAAGAGCCTCTGTCCAAACACAGAGAAGGTGAAAGAAATTCCTGGTTTTGTGGACAGAAATCTGAAGAGGGGGACCGAACTCTGATCTCGCAGGCATTTAATTAGTCAACACATTACTTGACTGTTTAACACTAAGCAAGTGTGGGTGTGTAATTACTGGGCTTCACAGTTCTGTCAGTCGCACTCGCCCCTCGGTGGTGCAGCGATAAATGCAGTCAGCCACCTGCTGCACACCAGTGTCACTTGTCACAAGGCTGCGAATGGCCTGTCCCTGCTGCCCACGCCAGCTGTGCCCGGGGTATTGGCTCCTGATCCCGTGCTGGCATGCTAGCACTTGTCGGAGGTTTCTGTCCTTCTCAGGGGCGAATGGGAGAGAATTTACTACAACATAATAGAGTTGCCACATAAGTAAACTACATTTGTGTACAAGGAGAAATTCGTCACCAGCACTGTTGCTAATGTCTTCTAGCGATTACCATCTTCGTAGCTGGAAAAGCACACAGCTACAGAAATGGGCAGAAATCTGCTGTGTTAATGTGGAAGTTGTTTGTTTGTTTCGTTTTTTTCAGAGCACAGAACCAGTGCTTCTTGACATTTCCAGTTCCTCTGCATTAGCAAGGGTGTTGTTATTTTGACCTCCGGGTTTTCCAGCCACCTGCCCTGTATGATGAACCTTGAGCTGACTTTAATTCAGTACCTTGGCCCGAAATCTCATTTTTCCACATTTCTACTTTTTTATCCATATGCTTCAGCAAGACAGAGAACACACACACACACACACACACACACACACACACACAAAGACCATCAGAACATAACCACCAAAGAACCCCCAACCAATCAAACCAAACATCAACCAAACACCACCAAAAAACCAACCAACCAACCAAACAAACAAAACCAACCACAAAAAAAACCAAAAAACAAACAAACAAAAAAAAACCTCACAAACCAATCCACTCAGAAAAAAGAACAACAAACCAAACTCTTCCAGCTGCAATGTGACACCAACGTAAAGGACTTGACTATGTCAAGAAAAATTGAAACGTTACTAGGGATTTATTGCGAATTAATGAGAGAGAGGCAGAAAAACCCTAAAACCAAACAAAATACAAAGAGCTGAATACCTCTTGGGCTTTGGGGCATAAGTGATCTCCGTGGACTTCAGAGAGCACTCGTCATTCCTGTAGGAAGGGGCTGGAAGGCGTTGCCCCCATGATGCCGTTCTTTAACTGGAGAAAGAGTTTGGGTAAGGTTAAGGTAAGGGTAAGTTTGGGGTTCTTTTAATGTGCCTATAGTCATAGGCATTCAAGGGGGATGAGGGAGGTTTAACACTTTCAAAAGGGCTACAGGGCAGATTTGGGTGTCTGTCATTTAGAGTCAGAAAGTCAAGATACTTTGAGGAAAATAGGGCTTGGACGGAGACTCAGAATATTTTGCTTCATGCATATTGG